TTCTTGTGGGCTTCTTCAATGGCCAGAGTTTCAAACCACTCTATATATATATAAGTTGGCTATAACCGGTAAAAGTGGCGATCCCATTGGCAGTTCCTCATCTTGCGTAAGGAATTCGTCCTTCAGTTGGAAGTAGCAGTTTCGTACACAGCATCCTAGTAATTCCATGATCACTTGTTTCGGTAAACTTGTAATATCTTTCAGGTCCCCATATTCAGATAGCTTCCTCTATATGATTTGTGATTTAAAGTACTTCTTCGAAAGGGACGTTGATAAAAAGAGAAGAACCATCCGCCTGATTGGAGACGCGAACATCATTTGCAACCTTGATAGTCTGGAATATCAAAGAAAGGTTGGGAATTTGTCTCCCTTCTGTAGATACTTTCACGGGAAGTGTTCAAGTGACTTGGCACATTTGATTCCACCAAGAGCAATACATATCAGGAATACGCGACGGACTTCACTGTTTGAGAACTATTCCATTTGGAGAACTGCGTTTAGGTGGAATAAACTTCCTGAGAACGTTTTTCCGAATGGATTTGATCTCTAGCGATTCAAATCCAATGTGAATCGCTATTTTTGCACAGGCACCGCTCTTATAGCGCCTTGAGGATTATCCTGTAGTGCTTGTGTATTGTCCTTCCAATTTATTATAATACGTATTCATTATTCATTAATAACAATATTTTGATATTTCCAGATTATTAGTATTAACTGTCACTCAAAACACTAACATATTTCAAATCTCATCAAATTTATTGGTATGAAGTCTAAATTGTTATCCGTTATTGTTCTTTGTGTTATTAGTTCACTTTAAAAATATTTCTGAATATGCCCTTTCTGAATAAAACTTTTTTTCTTTCTGGTTACACGTAAAAATGCTTTCGGAATGAGATCAGTGAGAAGCATTTCAAAGCTGACCAAATTTTCATCTCCAACCACGAAATTGATTGTTTTACATCAATATTTTTGACAAGTAATTATAATTTTCAGCAGTAAAATTTCAATTCAAAACTGTATTTTTTTCTGAAAACTACCGGATAACATATATTTTTCATATACCAAGCTCAATGGATCAAAAGGCGTGCATTCTAAGAATTTTTTAAATTATTATTTAAAAGCCAACGCTCTCACACACACTTTCACACAATTTAACAGATATACTTATTTGTCATCGTATATTCATATAGCATGCATATAACTTATATCATAATTCCAACATATTCCAAATTACTTAGAATCAGTAACCCTTTGCCGAAGGGCGGTTGCAGGACGTCTGGACCGGAAGGGGAGAGGAAGTTTATGAAAAAGGGAAATCAATGCCGTTGATGTTCAAGTTTGAAACCTTCTTACCGACATTTTCTAAATTTCGCCCTGACGCCGAAAATTATACTTTCTCCTGAGTAGTCAGATGGGAATTCATCCTAAACACGATCATATGAGTAATAAACATTACACAACTATTTTTCAAAACTAAGGTAACCAACCTAACCTGATCTATTAGAAATTAGACTATTTCATTTCAATAATTCATGTTACATTAGGTTAGATTCATTAACTATAGACCATAGCGAGCATTATTTTGCTTAGTAAACATTCATAATAACAGCACCGACCAATCATGCTCTTGCCATTTTTCTGGTAGTTCCCGATTTTCATGACTTTTCCATGAAAAACATTGTGATTTTCAGAATAAGACCATTACGTCTGAAGATGTAGCTCGGAATTCCATACTTTTTTAGATATATGTCTGGGTCATAGAATGTTTTTGCATTCTAGGACCTTTGTTTGTTTCAGGGAGGAATATCTCCACTTCCAAATTCGCCTGTAAGTTGCCCAAATTTGTTTGACAAAATGTCAAAGCAGCTTGTTCTCTCTCTTCGTGGTTTTTGGTGTTTTCGTCCAAGTTACCTTTTGACATGAGAATACCAAACTCCAAAATGTGCAGTATGGAATTATCAAAACTTTGATTTAATGTTAACATCCGGATTTTCTCGGTTTCTGAGGTACCACATCCAATTCATTCAATACTTCGAAAATGAGACTGAAAACACTGTGACTCTCAGCTCGTTTGTTTTTCAAAACTTTCTCCACAATTTTGATCAGTTATAAGATGTATATAATATCCCTGATGTGATTACTTAGACCTTTTCCCCTTGTAGAATATTGTGTCAAAACTTTCGATCTACTCTTGATAAAGAAATAATAAAGAGATCCAAACATGTAGCAGCATTCCATTCACAGAGTTGCTACTTGACAATGTAGAGGTGGCACTTCAATTTTTAATGTTGTTTACATTTGAGAATGAATTGATATTAGGTGAATTTTTTCACATTGTGGTTCATGAATTAAAGATAAGAACAAAAAACGCTCGACAGATTTTGTCTATTAACATGTGTACAAAATCGGATCAATATAATTTCTCGCATCAAGACTTTTTGACAAATCAAAAGCTAATCGGTATACATACTCGTTTTTCATGCAACTTCCACTCAATTGACGTATGTAGTCAGTGTTGCCGTTTAGTACTGTACTAAATTTAGTACATTTGTTACCTCAAAATATTTTCAGTGCGCCATTTTAGTATTTTTTCAACATGTTTTTTATCAAATCAGTCTAAGTAACCTTAGATGAATGACATATGTGTTATTTTTGAAATGAAATTGTTCTTACATGATTTGCTTATACATGTTCATGTCAGTTGTCACTTTGTCTGTAGTGACCATCTTTTCTCGCCCAATTATTCATCATTATTGTTGAATTGGGATTCAAAATGAATTAAAAACTATAACTATAGCAAGGAAAAGGGTGAATATATGCTGAATATATTAATTATTCACCCTTCACTATTTCAGTAGTTTTTTCTATCTGGTACTTTTTTCTGTGCACCTTTTATGAATTTGGGACAACACTGGTGGTAGTGGTAGACAGATATCTGGTCAGCCATGTATTTAACGCTATGGCGCTGTTTTGAATGTGTTTGTACTATGCCTACTAATTAATAAATTTACCTTACTATAATAGACTTGAACAAAACCAGTAGTCACTATATTATTATAACAACGAAATTTCAGTTTCTCTTGTGCTTGCTCAGGGAGATGGTCGCCACATTCACCCTTCGCTGGATCCACAATCTCCTACTCAAAAAAAAAGAAAATGTTCAAACGATCTTATAATCTTATTATTTCGATGAATGAAGGAATATTTTTACAAATAGATTTGGAAATATGTTCAATAAGGATTTTGTTAGCATCTAGAATAATTAAGTTAGACGTTGATGGAAAAGATCAGAAGCCAATGCAAATTCGTAATGTGAAATAAAGGCTATCTACTTTTTTGTGCAAAAAAATTATTTTTGATGCAAAAAGGATGTATAAACATCGTATAGCTTCTTCAACAAACGAAATAAGTAAATAGGGATTCCTCACATTGAATTATTTACTCAGTAATTCAACACAATAGCATTGTTTCACAAGTTTGTTGACCACCAATCTAATGTCCATTTATTTTTCCAGGTGAAAAAAACATGCGGCGCGGCAGAATTCTCCCAGAAAGAAGACCCTCTGATAGCAGAAACCAGCACTCCAACGCTTATTTCGTCTAGTGGAAAACCTCGATCCACAAACCCAAGAAATTTCTCTCCGCTACCCGAAAATGAACTTTCTCATTTTCTTTCCGCAATCGGTAAAACAAAAGGATTCTACGCCAATCTCGCGAACACACTGTGTCAGGACGAATCCTTTGCCGAGCGCAAAGACAAGCAGTGTTGGAATGGAGAACGAATCGCAGAGTGAGTTTTTTTTTATTTCAATTACTTGAGTGTATACAGCTTGAATTACTCATGAAATTATAATAATTACGTTCCTGTACTTTGGAAGTAAAAGTACCAATGTTCATTTTCTAGTATCAGCCAATGTCACTTGGTGGATTTCTTTCTAAAAGATACATATGCCGTTTTTGTCATTTGATATTTTTTTCAATTGGTTCATAATTTTTACTCATAGACTGTGCATTGTTCTGAGTTGATAATAAAAAAATAGAAGAGTCGGCATGTTCACATACGAAAGTCAAATTTGTATTGACATTTTATTCAGTACCTTGCCATTTATTTGTGTTCGGTTTCCATTAATTTGAGACTTTTTTAATATTCTAGAAATGGCTTAGTGATTACAAAAATAAATTAATCGATTGAACGTTCATGTCTCATTGAGGTTCAATTACCTCATCGCTGAAAGATGCTTTTAATGTTATCAGATGATCCATTTCACGAAGAACTACGAAAGAATGAAGATCAAAACATGCTAGATATTCGAAATGATCAAACAAACTTGCATACGTTGTATTTTGCTGTATAGTTCAGAATGTGAATGCCAATCTGATAATCTGGCGTGAATAAATAATATAATTTATTAGCCTTTTGAAATCATAGACCGATGAAGAATCATGAAAAACTATAAAATACATGCGAATAGTCAATGATAACAAAAATTAAGTGCGGAAAAAGTAAATATTACTGTTTCGCTAATCAATAATTCATTCAGGCCAGTCTTTCCTTACCTACACAGTAGGTTCATGGACTGACACCAATCAGAAAATAACTACTCCCCTGGCTAATATCACGAAAGCCTTTGGATTATATAAGACAGGTGTCAATGCAGGATTCTTCACAGAACAAATTCTGGCACATGCTTTGGCGACACAACGATTTTCAATTATTATTGAAACGGGCACACTTGCAGACTGGTTTCGGGCTATTTGGCCTTAACACGAAGTCGATGATTTCCCATAATTGAAAATTGAATTCTTTCACAGTATCATACCTCGAACAAAGCTGAAGCGAACGACAGAAATTTTATTTATCAGTAAAATTTTTATCTCAGTAATGAGGCGCATGCCTGAATGAATTCTTATTACTAATTATTATATCAGTTTTCTAGTCGCTATGTAGAAGAGTTAACAAAAGCATTTTAGATGGAACTCTTACCGTTGCTCATAGATCACATTCCACATTTTTCCATACCTCTCCGAGACGTCTTTATAGACATACATATGTATGTTTTCTAGTATCGGTTTTTTACCAATTTGTCATTTATTCTATGATCATTCTCCAAGGAATATTTTTGCTATTACTGAACTGAGTTTACGGACAACATCCTGTGTATATTCAACCTTCAGATAAAGACATCAAATATAGCATATAGAATATTTTCACTCTTTTGATGCCTGTTTGTAGAACGAAGACTGTGTGTGCGTTTGTATTAGTAACGTGACATTTCTTCGATTTCTTTTCAATCTCTCTATCAAAAATTCCATATTTTGGGTGTTTTGACAAAATATTTTATGTTTTTATTTTATAGGTTTTTTCATTCCCATTCAGCATATTCTATTATTATTGGTCTATTGTGAAAACATAAAAATCATTCATAAGTGCATGTCAAAACAAGAATGTGTTCATTAACTACTTTATTAATATTTTGGAAAAATTATTAGTTTTTATGTTTATCATTATTATATGACCTTTTTTTAATTGATTCAAAGTTCTGCTCCTCGATTCATGGGTAATTCCATCAAGACGCCCAGGAGTTCTTTCGTTATCTTTTAGAAGAGCACAAGAGTCATGGCTCACATATTTGAGGATAAGATTGTAGATAATTTCGTTGGTCAATTGAAATCCACGATGAAATGCATAGAAACCTTTGATCCTTTCTGGGTTGTTTCTGTCTCCATACCACAAAAAACCGACCAATTGAGTTTGTGGCAATGCTTGGATTCGTTCACAAGAGAAGAAACTTTAGATGGAAATTTAAAACCGATGTGTTCGAAATGCAAGGAAAGGAGAAAATGCATAAAGTCCCTATCAATCCACAAGTTTTCATTCAAAAAGATTCTCTCAAACGGAAAAATTTGAAGGCAAATTGAATGTTGTCATTGAATTTCCTCTATAAGGATTGGATATGGACAATTTTGCTGCAGAAAATGTGGCTACTTGTTGTAATAATCTATATATGCACTTTTAAATCACAGTGGGACTACTTACAAAGGGCATTATATAGCATACTGCAGACACCCGTATACTGACACGTGGCACAAATGCAACGATTCACACGTGTCACCAGTTTCACCAAAATCGCTTGTGAATGAAGAAGTATACGTCCTCTTTTATGAAAAGAATGAAACAAAATCGCACCTTCAAGATAACTGAGGGAAAGTTTATTCATGGTCCTGTACCAATATATTTGATATTTACATTCATGTGTGTACCTGATAAGTTGAATTTATATCAAACTTAATTAGAAATAAAACTAATTTCGATTTCAAAAGGTTAATTTTTTTCTTCTTGTGAATTAATTTATTATAGTTTTACACAAATGAAGTTTTTGAAACAACGATATAAATAAAATAAAAACAACAATAAAAATTAATTGGCGCTCCGGGGCGACTTCATTGTTTCCAGTAGCGCATTTGCTTTTTCAGCTGCTGGAAAACTCGAAAAAACCTGCAGCACCACATCATCTGAAGATCGTGATCTAACAATGTCCTCTCTCTTATAAAACAAAATGTAGGATGTCTCCAGAGGCTCCAATAAATTCAATGCATCGCCAGAATACTTCGTGACCCGACTATCGTCAAACATAAACCAGAATATTATAATAGTGGTCTACTAGGTTGAAATGTTCATCTATTTCGAACCTTCCAGAGTTTTTTGCTTCCGTTAGAGATTGAGTCATGTTTGAAAATCATCAGTGTTACTATTAGATTAATTATGTAATATATCATTCCTCATAAATATTACTGAATATACGAAATAGTTATTCAAAATGTTGCATAGGTATTCCTGAATAACGACCAAACAAAAAAGAATTCATGTTTATTCAAATTTAAAAATGTAAATGGAGGTACTTTCCATATTTCTGTAGTTTTCTTGAAGGTATTTTTTTGAAGTGGTTAACGATTCGGAAAACAATCTATTTCCGTTTTCAAAACCTGTATTCACTATAAAAATCTTGCCTCAAACTGTGATACTTCTAATTTCTTTCGACACACGTCAAAAGAATATAATGTCCAGATGTCACACGCGACAATACATGAACACACATACTGGATGTGTTTTGAGAATTCAGTTCAGTTAAGGTTCATATTTCTGTTTTCAACCAGGCAACCAGGTACGATCCATTTCCACAAAACTATTCGCAATACACTCTGAGCAAATTTAATCTCGAAGCAAAACTGTTTTGGGTTTTGAAAGAATATGTTAACTTGGAACACTATTTAAATATCTCCGTAGGAGAAATTAATTGTTTTCCTTTGAAGAAAGGCATTTTTTTCAAGTGATTATATTTGTATGAATCAAATAAACTCATTTACTTGTCGAAGATGAACTTATACTTCTGTTTATAAACTGTCCCTCTCATATGGATGCCTTTAGTTACTTAAATCCATAGTATCTCATTTGTTATATGAACAGGTACAAATGGTGAGGGAAGAAATACAATAATACATTATATATCATGATTGGTTTATTTGAAGCAATTGCAAATCATAATACCCTGAAGAAGCATATGATAAAAAAACTCAATAGAGAATTAAATTTTCTTTGCTAATCTTTGCTTGAATGTCACATTCCAACCGCACACTATTGAGAGATTATATAGTTATACAAATATCAGAAATGAATATTCAATCGACTTTTGAATTGTGACTTTTCACTAAACCTAAATATTTTTTCTGATAAAATTTTTATAACCTATGATTGTAAGTTGATCGAATTGAAGCATGGGATCTAAATTTACTTCATAAAACTGGTAACACAATACTACATTGTTAGTTTCTCATAATACTAAATTTAAATTCTTTTCAATAATATCTATGTTCAAATAAAACAGTTTTTTTCAAACTGAAATGAATGAAATACTTCTTTAAAAGAAGCCCTGTTCATTCTATATAAAATTCCTGTTATCTTCAGTCGATCATAATATAGTTTTCTATATAGATCCACAAAACTCTTGTTACAAACGAATTGCCTTATTTGAAGGAATATAGTTTTAAATTCAAACAAACAATATGTATTCAGATCAAGTTGATATTGCTCTCCATTTGAAACAGTTTATTTTTATCTTCAAATAGGTGGTTGATTGTGAGATGATATTATATTTTCTTGATTCAAAGTAGTTCATCTTCGCAATAATATATTCAAACGAATGATGTAGTTGAAAGGCCAAGAAATTTGATTTCTTCGTTTAAAAAGTGTGATTCTCTTGTGGAACATGGCGCTGTTGGCATGAAGTAATAGTTTTGAAATTGAGAGTTTCCTGCTAATTACTTTCTTACCACTTAAGGAAAACGGTAAATGTTTAGATTTTCAAGAGAAAAACTTCTAAAGTTACAAAGACTTTCTCCAATTATTGTTATACCAGTTATTTTTTCACTTTAAAAATATAATTTTTCTAGATATACGAAAACCGTAGTGGACGTAGGACTGGATATGCAGAAGTACAATCCTGAAGTGAAACCGAACACAAACATACAAAGCGTCGATCCAAAGGTGGCTAACTTGGTCGATAAATTGCAACGGGTGCATCACGTAAGTTCTCTTTTACTTTCATAATTTACTAAATTTTGGTACCTACGTATTGTGTCAGTCTGTGTAGAGAGGAATTACGCTCCTGCATCGGAATATATTTTCAATTTCAAGTAGATTTCGAAGTCTGAGTATGCCAAAATCTTCTGTGAATAATAATCACCGACTCAGACAATTTACAAAGTATTTCAATGTGTCGCCCAACATAATGGATTTTATGAACGGTTTTATCATGAAGGTTTGAAATGTCAATTTGGTATATTTCTGAAAACACTTTAACTTAACACTTGAATAGATATTAGTTAATACTCCGATTGAAAATCTGGTTTCCAGATTGTCGATATCGTTTGTCAGGAACATTAATAATAATCATTTCTACCTTCATAGCAGGGGTTCCCAACCGGTGGTACGCGTACCACCAGTGGTACACGGGAACGTTTCAGGTGGCACGCGTGAGTGATGTGAGCAACATGCTGTTGATAGCAAACATGACTCAGCTCACGGGTCTCTAGAAAAACAAACTACAAATAACCCAGTGAACGACCTGACATCTTTGTTTTTCTATTACATTGGAATTTATAATTCTAATAATAAAACAATAAAACACTTTAGGAATTTTACCAAGGAATCCCCAGATAGTACAATTGGTAAACAAAGGGTGTTTCATTTTTCACCTGTGGGTCTTTAAAAGTATTGTATTTTACTTTCACTTGGCATTACAGGTTTGTTGTGGGTGTTGTGATTATTAATTCTGATTTTGTATAAAAAAACTCAATTATGAAACAATTTTTGACATTCTCTTCTTCTTCTTTAAAGGAGCTTCTAAAAAACCGGCCAATCGTAAATACGATGAAAGCTACTTACAGTGCGTTTTCATAGTGAAGCCAGTGACTGAAACCGGTGACATTCCTATTCCTCAATGTGTTGTATGTCTTGAAACACTTTCGAACCAATCCATGAAGCCTTCTTTACTGATGCGACACCAAAATACTAAGCACCCTGATTTGATTGGTAGGCTTATTGATTTTTTAAAAGAAAATCTAATTTTTAAAAGAAAGAAACCCAATGTTTGACGAATTTTGTCAATACTGATACTAACTCAAGTTAGAATGACGCCTTTATCGATAAAGGCGTCATACCTTGCTAGTTTAAGAATTGCAAAAGATGGAAAACCTCACACAATAGGTGAGACGCTTTTACTGCCGGCCGCTGTGGATATGGTTCAAGCTGTGTTAGGAGAAAGGGCAGCCAAAGAAATTAAAAAAATAACTCTGTCAAATAACACAGTAAGAAGACGAATTGACGATATGTCTAATAATATGAAGAACAACTGGCTTTAAAACTCTAAGAATACACTTCTTTTGCACTTCAAGTTGACGAAAGCAGTGATGTTACAAACATGGCGCAACCACTTGTTTCTTGCGATTTGATTATAATGAAGAGGTGATAAAAGAGTTTTTTCTGCAAACCACTTGAATCACATACCACAGCGGAACTCATTTTTAAGGTAAATGATGAATATGTGCTCAAAGTTGGCATTCCCTGGTCCAAATGTATTGGCTTGTGTACAGATGGGGCAAAGGCTTTGTCAGGAAAATTGACATGGCTAGCAGCAAAAATGAAAGGAGTTGCTCCTGAATGCAAAAGTTCGCATTGTGTCATCCATCGAGAAGCATTAGCTGCTAAAGGTATGCTGGAAAATATTAACTCCGTTCTATCAGATGCTATGAAAGTTATTAACTACTTCATAAAGGCTAGGGCTCCAAACACAAGATTATTCTCCTTGATGTGTGAAGGAATGGGTGGCAAGTTCAAAACTTCACTCCTGCATACAGAAGTGAGGTGGTTATCTCGCAGGAAAATTTTGAACCGTATCTTTGAACTGAGATCAGAAGTTTTCATGTTTTTAAGTGAAAAAAATCATGACATGAAAAAATTGTTTGCTGATCATGAATGGTTGTCAAGATTGGCTTACCTAGCCGACATTTTTAACGAACTCAACACACTGAACTTGGGACTTCAGGGACCAAACACAACAGATTCACAGCCAGTGACAAAATAAACTCCTTCAAGAGAAAGTTGATCCTGTTTTTTCACAAATACAGGAGGAGAATTCATCTGAATTCCTTACTCTATCATCATTTTTTGAAGAAAATGAAATATCTCCAATGCCAGATGTGGTTTCAGATATCAGTATTCACTTGGAAAAGCTTCAAGAAGTATTTCTCTGAAGATTATTCAAAAGTGGACTGGATCAGAAATCCTTTTTCGAGAATATCACCAAATGAATTGGAACTAAAAGAAAGTTTTATCGACCTTACAGAAGATAATTCCATGAAAGATTACTTTAAACAGAAATCTTTAACGAATTTCTGGATCGGATGTAAAACCGAGTACCCTTTGCTCTTCCGGCAAGCTCTGCTATTTTTGATGCCATTTGTTACGAGTTACTTGTGTGAGAACAGATTTTCTGAACTCTTGTACCTAAAAAATAACTATAGAAGCAGAATAAGTGTTGAAGAGAACTTAAGAGTGAGATTAGATTTTCTGTTGGTCAAGTTATTACACCTTAGTGCTATGACAAGTCAATAATGTAAAAAATATATATAAATTACAATTAGAATTACCGAAAAGGAGTAGGTAGTACATAAAAATTGTATATGATACAAGCACAAAATAAAGTAAATAAATATATAAATTTAAAAATGAAATGTAAAAATAAAGATACATAGAGACAGTACCTACATTGACGATAGTCACTCTGTACAGCTGAAGTCAGACGCATTCTCTGAGATATGTTTTTTCAGTTTTGGTTTGAAATTAGCGAGGGTTGCATTTTTCATTGATTGGGGCAGTGCATTGTACAATGATATGTATGAGTTACATCTCCTTGTTATTTCTAGTCTTTGGTTTGGTCCTCTAATATTATCCTTGTTCCTAGTATTATACGAATGGTTGTTACCGTTTGTAGTAAACTTTTGTAAATGTTCTTGAATGTGTATCAAATTGCAGTATATTACACATGATGGCAGAGTTAATATATTGAACTTAATAAGCCAATTCTTACAGCTCTTTATTTGACCTATTCCAGCTAAAGCTCTGATTGCTCTTTTTTGAATTTCAAATATTCTCGAGGTATGAACAGATGTGCTCCAGTTTATCAATCCATTAATTAAGGAACTATGAAACATTGCATGATTAGTGGTATGGGCAGCTTCATTACCGATTTTTTTTTATCCGTCTCATTGCATAGACCTTGCATGTTAGATTTTTTGCTAGTTTCCAAGTTAACTTTGAATAAATGGTTATACCAAGACATTTCACATTATTTGAGAGATTATGAGACAGCGAGAACATAACTGTTTGTGTCTTGCTTTTATTCACACATAGGCTATTCACATTAAACCAATCCGTATCTTCTTAAATAACTCGATTTTCTAATTCACCGAGTTATCAGCATTGCATGGAACTTGGTGGAGATAATTTGAAAATGAATTATTGGGTGTGCTCATTTCATTATTCATATTCAGGGCTACATTTATAAAAAAGTCATTGAACTGCTCTGATGTAAGACAAGAAGAGCTATTCGTGTGATAAGTTCCATTACTCCTAATGTTGATATTTTAATCATAGGCAAACAAGTTTCGCACTAAAGACTATAAAAGTATATTCTGTATGATGAATAATTTTTTGCTGATTTCTCAATAATTTTTTATTTGTATGGTAATAAATAATACTTTGAATTACTACCATTTTAATCTTTTTATTCCTCCTTTATCATAAGCATTTTATTAATAAACAAATATCTAACCATTAAATATGAAGTTTTCTCAGGAATTTAATTGAAAATGCCTTTGATCACTTTTAGAAGAGGGCTCCATGGCTAGATTTCTAAAATATTAGTAAAGATAATAGATTTCATTGATAGGAGAAATGTGAAACAAAGAATAGAATTCATTTGCCTACCTTCGAATAGAAATGGCAAGACCAGAACTATTCTGTTGAAAGTTACAAAAACTATATGTTTTTTTTTAATTTCTCTATTCTCTAATTTCTTTAAAAAATATAATGAGAGATGTCCTGTAAATGATAAAAAGGTACTTATTGGTTTGATAATATAATATTATTTTTCATTTACGTTTTCAAAGTAACCCGTATTGAGGTTTATGATTTTCTTCCAATACTTTAACAAATAAGAGATATGAACAAGCGATTGTTTATCCTCTATAATGAAACGAGACAAGATCTTTTATAACCTTTATATTCAATATAACATTTTTTTTTAACTTCAAGACATTGATACGGTGTGCTTCATGCGAGATAAAATTGGTTCAGCTACCGCCTAACTTCGATATCACGATAAAAAATGCGTGTTCTCTTCTCTCTGCGATTCATAAATTGTCAAAGAGCGCAGCTCCACGCTACCGAACACCAATAATTTCACTCTCGTTCTTTCTAATGCGAAATTATAGCCTTCTGTCACTGTTCCATAATGAGAATACTTTTTTATCAATTTCTCGACATTATTTGTAGTTATATATGCACAAGCTAACTATTTTGTTTACGATGCATGGAATCCGTTATTTCTCCTAATCCGCCATGTTTCGTTCCATCCTATTTTTTCCCCATTATCTGGATCACCGTTGGTATTATCCCCATTTTTAAGGCTACCGCTATTAAATTTCGTTTCCAACCTAAAGTATACATGAAAAAATCTTCTTTATATTTTTTTGGGCTCTCAACTGATTTAAACTTAAAGTCAGGGCCTCTGAATCCCTTTTTGCCTTGATTTCAATTTTGCTTAGAGATAAGTGGTTTCATTTGTGCGATTATTTTTTAGTTTACTATACTTATTTTATGAATGTTTAATATATAGTTTTTACGACAAGTATTTCCTTTAATATCAAAATCTAATTTATTCAACTACAGAAACTAATTTCATTTATGAAATGTCGACCCATCATAAACTAAATGATTTCTCATTGAAAATATCAACGTGTTGT